AAAAGACAACTCAAGGAATGGGAAAAAATATTTGCAAATCATATATATGAGTAGGGTCTTATATCCAGAATATATGAACAATTCTTAAATTTCAGTAATTGAAAACCCAAATAACCTAATTAAAAAATGGTCAAGGGCACTTGGGTGGCTCAGTCAGTTGAGCATCCGACTCTTGGTTTTGGCTCAGGTCATGATCTCAGGGTTGTGAGATCGAGCCCTGCATCAGGCTCTGTGCTCAGTGTGGAGTCTGCTACAGATTCTCTCTCCCTCTCCCTCTTCCTCCTGTTCTCTCTCTCTCTCAAGTAAATAAATAAATATTTTTAAAAAATATAAAAAATGGGTAAAGAATTTTAATAGACATTTATCCAAAGAAGACATATGACTGTCTAATAAATGCATGAAAAAGCACTTAACATCATTTTTATCATATGACTAATGTATATTAGTATGTATATTATTTATATATATATATTATATATTTGCCAGTTGTTCAATGGCATGGCATTGCTTATATGAACATGGCATGCCATGTTCAATGGCATATATTTATATATATACACATTTATATAATGTATATTATTTAATATGTATATTAAAATCATTATGACATACTACTTCATAGGATGGCTGTAATAAAAAAGGCAGACAATAAATAATGGTGAGAATGTGAAGAAATTAGAATACTTCTTCTTTGCTGGTGGAAATGTAGTATGTGGCAGCTACCTTAGGCAAAAGTTTAGAAGCTTCTCAAAATTAAAACATAAGTACCATTTAACCAAGCAATTTCATTCCTAAGTTACTAAGGACAAATGAAAACATATATCCAAACACAGACTTGTACATGAATGTTCATAGCAATGTTATTCATAATGGCCCTAAAGAGAAAAGAATCTAAAGGTACATAAACTGTTGGATAAACAGTTTGTGGTATATCCATATAACAGAATGTTATTTGGCAACACAAAGGAATGAATTAGTAATACATTCTATACTTAGCACATTATGCTAATTGAAATTAGTCAGTCACAAAAAAACCTCATATATTGTCTGATCTCATTTATATTAAATACCCAGGATAGGCAAATGTATAGAGACACAAAGTAGGTGAGTGATTACCTAGGGCTGGGGGGAAATGAATGGAGGGGAGTATGGAAAGTGACTGTTAATGGGTACAAAGTTTCTTTTCGGAATAATGAAAATGTTTAAAAATTACATTCTGGTGATGGTTGCACAATTGTATAAATATATAAAACTCACTGAATTGTACACTTTAAACAGGTGAACTTGAAGGAATGTAAACTATATCAATACTGTTACCAACAACAATAACAATAACAACAGCAACAATAAGTTCAGCATGACTAGAGAAAAAATAGGTGAAGGAAAGAGTAGAAAGAGGAGGCAGAGGCCAGATCTGTAGGGACTTTATGCCATAATAAGAATGTATATGATCTCCGAAATTTCAAAGCCACTAGGGCTTTTTAAGCAGAAGAGTGACATGATCTGATTTATATAATGACATGATACAATAATATATAATACATTGTATGTAATATATAAACTATATTATTATATACAATAATCATTATATATAATATATAATAATTATATGTTATAATAGATTATTATATAAAATAATTATATAATGATATATAATTATATAATATCTAATAATATAATCAAATGTATACATGTTGATATTCAAGAATAATTAACTTTTTAATTCTTCTATTTCCATACCTTCTTTTGTTGTGATTTAGAGATGCAAGTCCAGCTCAAAGTACTAATTAAATCTTTTGAAAAGACATAGTAAATAAAGACTGATGAATAAAATCCTCTGATATAACATTTTCTAGATCTTTCAGAAAAAATTAGCAACTCTGTATATATCTAGGAAATAGAAACTCAAATGCTTTTTGTCCGTAAATAAATTATAAAGGTCATTCATTTCATTTCCTTCATTTTCTACTTAAGGAAACCAAGAAGATCATACATATATTTACTGGAGCACTGAGACAGTCCTTCGGTTCCTACTGCAGTGTTGACTGAATTCTACTATCTGACTGCACAGAACTTAGAAAGTCAATTTGTAGAATTTGTGGTGTTGAGTTACACATTATTTGTTTTCAACTGTGGCTTATAATGTCAGAGTTGCAGTATTATTTTGGTTACCGAAGAGTAAAATTCTAGGGGAAAATATTTATAAATAGTAGTAATACTTTAAGTGGAGTAGAATGAGGTATGGGATGTCCCTGAAATCAATTGAGTAAATAACATATATTAAAACCATTTTAATGCCTATTTTCTAACCACCTTTATCAAATTATTGCCTATTAAATTAAAAATCCATAATTTAAGTAAAAAAAATTTTCCAAGTTTTTATCACCAAAGACTCAGAATAATGTTTTCTTCAGTTGGTCTCAACAGATGAAAGCTTCACCCTTGTGAGCCCTTCAGTTAGCGGACCAGAGCATCTAATCTAAAGAAATGTCTGAAATCTTGTCAACTGTTTCATGTGCCCCACATATTATTAAATATGAAAATGATTTCTTCCAAGGTAGATTGGGAAGGTTTTGGAGTTTTGTTTTGATTTGGTTTTTTTCCCTTGAATATGATGGATGCAGTTCACTTTGTATAACTCACAGAGGCTAATTCTAATGTAATTCAAATGTAATAAATTCTCTGTCAGGAACAAACTTTAGTTCGGATGTGTACTCAGGAACTGGCAGGAGACAACTACGGAGCTCCTGCCATCCTGATCCGTTAGGTTAAGTAGTGGGTGTGTCCTCTTGTCTGGGGCAGACATGGACTTGAAGGTTTATTTTTCCATTGCTTACTCTCTTGGTGTGGGCTTACTCTGGACCTCTGTGTTTGGTTCTAGGGCAGCAGGCTGCAGCATATAATGTGATAGACTCAAGAAACGGGATTCAAATTCCGGCTCAGCTTCTAAATGGTTGTGTGACCACAGGCAAGACAGTTAACTTTTCTGAATCTTACTTTTCTAGTCAATAAGACAGAAACTGCTCTATCTGTACCACATCATTATTAATTGGATCAAATCAGTTAATATATGAAAGGGCTTTGAGATGTATGAAGCACCATGTTGACGTTCTTCCTTCCTATTTCTGCTTTGGTATCTGTATGTTCCACATATATAAATATAGTTTGTCATGGACTACACATTTGCAAAAGAGAAAAAACAAGTTAATGTTAGTTTCTTTTGAAAATATTCAGCAAGTTATGAACAAGTTATGAGTCAAATTAGTGATAATAACAATATGTTATTCACCTGGTAAATTTTATCTCAGCATTCCAAACCATCTCAGTCTGAAACCAAGGCAGGAAAAAAACTGGGAAGCTGAGAGGAATTTACTTAAGTCCCTTCCTTAACACAGCCATTGAATGTTTCAGTTTTTACCTCTCAGATTGAAAAGCACCTGATGTTGGAACTGTGGATCAAAACACCTGTCAGCAATGACAAATACCTCCTCTGAAAGAATCATGATGTTTTAAGTTTAATAAGTACGTAAACTTCAGAATTTAGTAATCCTTTCATTAGTCAAACTATACAATTTATGGATTTTGAAAAATAATGTAAAAAAGGCCTTTAAATTTAGAGTGCTCAGAATAACTGCATGCTAAAACTAAACCTACTGTTCAAAGTAGGTGAAACAGAGGGCATTGATCTCAGTGGATTTTTAAATGTGCTGATTCTGGGCAAAAAAACCCACAAAACATGTCGCTGCTAATAGGCATAACAAAATCCAAGAACTTCACTGGGGTTATGATATTTGTGGGGGGAGGAAATATGGACAATTTTTAACCCTCTAGGTGCCTGTAGTAAAACAAAATTTAAAATTTTATTAACTTTCAAAAATCTCTGGAGAATTAAAGACCTCATGTCATTAACCGATTAAAGGCACCTGTCTGATTTATTTACCTTAAATCCAACACGACCTAGATCAAGGTAGGACAGGAAGAAAATGATCTTAAAAAAAAAAAAAGCCTGTGATTCTGAGAATGATTAATACCTTATCTCAGCCTCAAGAAGGGTATTAAGAAGTAGATGCAATGTCTAGAGCAGCTGGGATCCAAATAAAAAAATGGCTCTTAACCATGTAAAAGAAAAAACTGGAGAATGAAGGCAATGTCTGAGATGTTCAGAAAATAAGGTAGGGTAATATCTGAACCTCTGAGTAGTCAATAATAAAATGAAATCTTTATAAACCATATTAAAGAGTTAGTGAAGTCAGTAGGAGCTTTGCTTAGTTATTTGAAGAATGAAATAAGAGAAATTAATTTTATGGGAGTATTAAGATCTTAATGTCTTACTTTCTAAGCATAATATAATCCAATAGAAAGCTCTATTCAGTTTTCTGGTTCTAAGGAAGAAAAACAGATTCTATAATGGAAAAGTAAATCCTAATTTTAGATAGGTCATGAGAACAGGCATTTTTCTTTTTCCTACAGGATACTTAATCAGTAGTTTTTAGAGCATTTCAGAAACGTTTCCCTTCTAACTGCCCTTTATCATTTTCTTCAAGCAAAGCTTTATCTTTGTCCTATTCAACAATCAGAAGATAGGACTTTTCAGAAAGGTTCCCACATATAGTTTACTTTTCACACTGTCAGTTTCACCAGAGGCCTCGGTAAACACACCTAATTCCCTGAAGCCCTGTAACATTCAAAAGCCATGCTATAGCACTAAGTTAGAGTTGAGAGTGAACAGGAAAAGGGGTAGGATAAACCAGAAAAACTTCCAATTCATCAGTTTCTCCTTATGTGAAATGGGCATTTTGCCAGCTATCAGTTTTTATAGGTTGTAGTGTTTAACCACTGAAAGTAATGGTAAAACCCTTACAAAGAGTGTTCCACTCCATTCAGCATGGTGAGAGCATTAATTTGTCCCAGACTACATTAGGGGGGAAGGTAAACCATAGATTCACCGGACTTCCCTGAACATTTCCTGAGAATTCATCAGTGATAAAAATCCTTCTCACCTGCTCCGGATAGCCATCCATACTCCTTTGCCCTTTAGTTTGAATTAAGCACCGTCCAGGCTGAGGTCCCCGGGTGGCCTGTGAAGAGGGGATCTGAATAGGCAATGGTGACTGAAATTGCTGGATGGTCACTTTGTTTATATTCCCCTCATATCCCTGCTGCTCCCGGCTCCGATGCTGAAGGCTTTGGGACCCCATCAGAGTCTGGATGTGGCTGCCTGCCTGTGGAGAAGATAAGTTGTCAGACGAAGATTCGTGGTGTTGAAAGGATGTGATTAAAGTAGAACACACATGGGGCACCTGGGTGACTCAGTTGGTTAAGCGACTGCCTTCGGCTCAGGTCATGATCCTGGAGTTCCGGGATCGAGTCCCGCATCAGGCTCCCTGCTCAGCAGGGAGTCTGCTTCTCCCTCTGACCCTCCCCCCCTCATGTGCTCTCTCTCTCTCATTCTCTCTCTCAAATAAATAAACAAAATCTTAAAAAAAAAAATAAAGTAGAACACACACATACAGAATACCTCTCTGGTAAAGTGGCATCACTTGGGCTCTCAGCCACTGCTGGAAAGGATAATGAAAAAACAGTAAGGGTCTGCCTACTGTGGTTTGTGAAAATGTTAATATTGGAGCAAGGTCGCATTATATACATTTGTAGTCATCTGGTGTCTTGCCAGAGATTATTTTATCCCCCATTTTAAGGGAGCAAAATTCTCTCTGAAATCTCAAGCACAAAAAGAAGTCACAGCTTAAAAATAAAGTGGAGTTCTATCTGGCATTTTATTTTGATTAGCAGCAGGGAGAGAGATATAGTATAGGAAACATCAGGGGGAGAATGATAGAGCCTGGTTCCTGATTCTGAAGCAAAAGAATCGAAGTGTGTATTTTCCTTTATGTCACAGGTGCACAGTGAGCTTGTTCAGGTGAGGTTAATCAATATTTATTCATGTTCTGCATTATTAAATCAAGAGTATGGTTTTTGGAATCTTTAAGTCACATTGAAAATGAACCATGTGATAAATTCCTGTGAGTATCTGTAGCTCATGGAGGCACTAGATGTCGGAAAGGTCTTCAAAGTGAGCTCTGTATGTAGATCATCCCATGGTGAGCTTTCAGAGACATTCATTAGTATCTCATTTAAAGAAATAATGACAATTTCTCAGTCCTTAAGGGTGACTATTGGAGGAAGAGGGCATGCTCACTTTGGTCTCTCATCTTCAAATGCTATGGTGCACACCATATGCATATGGTTCCTTGTTCATTCTGATTTTCTCACCTTTGTTTTAGCATCAGTTTCTTGAGTCATTCTACTTGGTATCTTTTCCACCAAGCAAGCAGTCCTGCTTCTGGGCTGGTCACCCAGAACATGCCTTTTATAATTATGTATGGCTTAACATGGAGGTTTCACATGGGAAGTGAATGCTTATCATTAATAGTTTTAAACATATGTTTTACTGCTGTGCTTGGTACTTCACCTATTACTATGGAGGCCTCTGAGGGGTTACTTCCTGCATTCATTTTCTTTCTTATTGGTCTTTTAAGGGTAGATGATTTGGAATTCAAAGCTGAATTTCACCTTAGAATTCATTAGCTAGGAAAGCCTGTGAATTTTGCTATTTGTAACAGATTTGTCATTCATTAGTTAGGGAGGTCTAACTAATCAAAATTTTTGATTAAAAATTCAGGAAGAATAAAGGAAAAATTATTAAACACGCATTCAAGGAACAGATTAATTTGAATTTTTTAAAAGTTCTTTTAAAAGAGCAAAATTAAGAAACATAAGGAAATGACAGTGATCGTGGAAAATCATTTGGAAAAGATGGGAGGCATATTGCTTGGTTCCAAACAAGAGGTGATTTCAGTGAAGAAAATATTCAAAATTATTATTTGGCAATGCGTATGGCAAAGTAAACAACCATTTGATTATATTTTTAGATGCCCAACTGGTTGTCTTGTTATCATGTACAATGTTTACATTCAGAAATAGTAAGGATATTTCAGGCATGAGAAATTGGAGGAAAAGATGCAAAAAAAGAGAGTTGTACTATACCAGCACAATGTGAAAATAATTATCAATCCAACATTATCCAATGCAACTAACCGGCAATGGCAAAGCTATAACATCATAAACACAACTAAGAACCTTCATAAAGGGCAAGTGTATGTTTCTATATTGTATCTATGCCCTTCTCAGAGATAAATGAAAGGAGATGTTACAAATTTGAGAGCTGTTCTAGATGACTGAACACCCTCCTGGTCAAGTTGTTCCCCTTAGTGTGATTCTCTCCTACCTCCCTGGAATTTCATGTTCTCTTGTTTGGTAGGAGAGGAAAACCATGATAAGCCGTATGACATTTTGAGCTGCTATACTCTGAATGAACTCACTGGCATGCTAAGTTACATAGTTGGAGACAATGACTTCCTGGAGTTTGAAATGCTGATGATGTGGGCTGACGAAAGCTGACTAGCCTGGTTGTGGAACAATAAGTTGATTTTACATTTAAATCTGCTTGTCACCTCCACTGGCATAATACTTATGGGTCTTCAGTCAGTGCTTGAGCCAGTGGACAAGAGGAAGACCAGCAGTTTAATTGAAAGTGATCATGTAGACAAGCAAAGAATTGTTAACACCCAGAAAAACTTAGAGGGATCCAGAACATGGATGCATAATCTACATGAGAAAATTAATAAGGACCTAACAATCTCTTCATTGATTAGAATATTCTGGTAATGGTCTATCCAAGGGTGAAAAACTGTTTGCATATTATATAACGATTATAGCCTGTAGACTTATTTTTCTGGTTTAGTTTTCCCTTCTGATGGGACAATTGGAGCCCAGAATTATGCTTTGATTTGGAACTCCTTGAAGGCAAGCACCATATCCTACTTACCATTTTCAATGACTGAAGCAGTAACTGGCATTTAATAAATAATGACTACTTATTGAAACACTAGGTGCCAAACAATGTGCTAAAACTTATCTTACACATATTACCTCTTTAGTCCTTACAACAGCATTAGAGGTTAACTATTATGAATTATTATTATCCAATTTTACTAATGAGGAAACTAAGGCTTGGAGAAGTAAACCGGCTTCCCCAAGTAATTTTCACTACTGGTAAACTGACAGGATCAGGATTTGAAACAAGGCTGTCTGACTATGAAAGCTCACGCTCTTTTTTTCCCCCTACCCATTTTTTTTTATTATGTTCAGTTAGCCAACATATAGTAGTACACCATTAGTTTTGAAAGATCATGCTCTTAAACACAAAATTATACTGCAATCCCCTAACCCCCAAATCGACTCTCTCCCCCTAATAGTTGAACTGTGAATTGAAAAGGAACCATGAAAAGGAACAAAAGGACCCGACTGCAGGATAAATTAAATTTCTTTAGCAGCTCTTTAATTTGCCAAAAGGTCATTCCTACTTATTGAACTAGGTCTGTTATCTATTTTAGATCCTATGGATGTGACTCAGAGCATTATAGTTAAGCAAATAACCGTATTTAGTAATCTTCCCACAATTATGAAGTGACCAGGCTCATGTTCTCAGATAGTTTGGTAAAACATCAAGTAGGCATGGAAGGATGTGCTATAAAATGATTCTGTTTGCATCAGTACTGTTATTTCACTCTCTATTGGGACTACAGGCTGCACTGAATGGGGATGGGGAGCGACAGCTGTAGAAAGCCAAGAATTAACACTAAATTTTGTGTGGAGTTAAGCAAACATAAATGACACAAGACATCTAAAGGGACAATTATGGTCTCAGAGGGACTGTAAAGAGGAAGTTTTTTTTGACTGACATAAAGGCTTAAGAAAGGTAATGAGGATGCTCATGATAAAGTACAAAGGGCTAATGAAAATGTAGAAAATGTCAGAGGCTGGATTTGTTCAAGCAGAGGGTTAGCTTTGAGAACACTGACTCATACTGAAGGGGAATTTGAACATAAAGGTTTCTGTAAAGACTGTGCTACACATTTTGAATGATAAAAAGGAAGAGAGAAGATCTGACATTTGTTTTGAACTTTCAAGGGGAGGTTGGACAAAATAACACATATTTGAGGAGAATAGTGATGAAATATAGTGTTTTCAAGTTGACCGAAAACCATACTGTCAAAATTTACAAAGAAAAACTCCAATATCCATAGGGCCCAAGAAAACATCAATGTCAATACCACAGAAAAGAAATATTGATTTGATACCAAAGGGCAGTGTTCATGCAAAAGTCAGCCCACAGCTAATCAGGCTTATTATGTAGAAATTTAAAGTGTTTCGGAAGTTTTGTATGATATAAAAGAAATGACTTTCTCACTAAAACAATGCTTTGGTTCACAATATTCTCTTAGAAAAACTGTTTGAGAAGTATATTATGTAATTTGGTCATCTGTTTTACTAGCCATCTTGGCTCTTGAACCACTTGAGGTTGCTTCCAAAAATCAAACACAGCTTTAAAGGATGACAGTTTATGCCACTGAGAATATTCAAATGGACACAATTAATTCTCTCAAATTAAGTCCAGTAGAGTTCAAAAAATGTTTGGGAGCAGTGTCAACAACACAAAATCATCTACAAAGGATAACTCAGGAACTGATTTCAAGGAACCACTGATACTCATTTAAATGAGGCCATTTCAGTAATTTTGTAAAGCAACAACAATAACAACAAAACAGTCCTATTACTCTCTCTTTCTACCATGTGTTCTATAGTGACTTTTTTTTAGTAAGCAGGTTAAGTTTTAAAAATCTAGGCAGTTGGACTTCTGATTCCAGGTAGATGGAGTAGACATACTATGCCCTGCTCCCTCCAAGAACAACTAAAACCTTGGACATTTTATGTAAACAAATATAAGGAACCTCTGGAAAGAAGAAAGAAGAAAGTAGATTAACTCAGATATAGAGACCAAGTATCAACATGGCAGTGAATCTCTTGGGTTTTATTTTTGTGTCATATATCCCAGACTTGGACCTGAGGAAGTGGGCAACCCCAAGATACCAACAGATGCAGAAGAAGAAAGCCCCAACAGAAGCTTTCTCTCTCTAGCCATAGGACCAGAAAAGGGGCAGCCTAGGAAGACAGAAGACTTTTAGACAATAACAATTCTTCTATAACCAAACACCATGGAAAAAACTGTGGCCCTACCCTGGCAATGCCAGCGACAGCCAAGTGTGGAGCCTAGACTTCTGCCCTTATAAAGATGTAACAAAGCACACCAACACTCCTGCCT